AGTCTAAGATAGACCTCAAGATGATTTGTTTAGCCCTTGTAAGAACTATACCTCACATTTTTGTCAGAAAACAGACATAAGTGAAAAAGAATGACCTGTAGCAATTCACTTCTGACACAGTGAATGCAAAGATAAGCATTTCCTGATCTTTGAAGACACAGAAATACGCAAAGTAGCAACTGATCTTTACCAGATGTTTCTGTTGTTATTCATATCTAATAAATTAAAAAACCTTCTGTTATGTAGAATTGTCACACCACATGAAGCATTAAGCCAACCATCCTTCTTTACATTTTGAATTCTGGCAAATGCATACAGTATGCTATACATAAGTGCTATTAATTATCTGCGAAATCTGCAACACGGCATTATTAGTTTCATAAAAATTAAATGATGGTAAGTACTTGGGGAAAAAATTCAGATACTGTATGTCCATTTTAGTCACAAGAGTATGCTAGTGACAGTGATAAAACAAAGGTGAGGAAATTTCTTAATGGGAGAGCTACAAAAGAAAACATATATTTGTGAACTTATAACATTTCCATTTTAATTTTGTTTTTCCAAAATTAACTCATGTATTATACTAGATATATAAAGAAATATCAGTCAGACGACGATATCTATTTGAAAAAAGAGCTGGTCAAGATATTAGACATATATGACAGTCCATTATTGGCATTTAGCCTTGTGTTACTAACTTCACTGTACCATCCTTTAAGGAAACAGCATGACCAAACTTGTCCAAAGACTTCTGGATGATTCAGCCAACTTCAGAATGATGGTAATCTCTTTGGTAACTCTCTTTGGTAGCCATCAACCCTTCCAGAATCTGGTGCACACACTTGCAGATAGGGTTTCTATGAGGCTCCTCTAGCTGGGTGCCAAGGTGGTTTGACATAACAGATATAAGACCCAGACGATTTCCAAAAATGTCCATAAACTGTTGGAAGACAGTTGCCAGTTCATATTTTGGGGGCCCTTTAGGTGTTTGACCTCTGCAGAAAGGCTTCCACTTATTCATTCTCTAAGATGAAACATGCAAACAGTGGCAAACTGGAGTAGGTTTCTCACAAGGCGTAAACAATTTTATATTGAAGATTTGCTTCTCCTGGTCTATTAGTTAGCTGGTCCCATTTTCCCAAGAACCTCATAGGATCCTTGCTATCAAGTCAAACGTTTTTGCTCACCAAAGTTGGAAGAGGTAACAGTTCTTTCTGGTCTTAGTTCTCTGGACCTAGCATATCAGCTTTCTGAAGATTCTGTTAAGTCATTTCTGAGTAGCTCTCAAGGTGATTGCTAACCTGAAAAATATAATCAACGACTGAACGATTTACTGTACCAACTTCTCTGGCTCTTCCCTGGTCTCCTGAAGCACATTGAGTGGTCCCCTCAAAATTCATTTATACAATAGTCCAAAGAGCAAAAACTCAGTGAGCATACAGTAAATAGGCAGCTGACTGTCCCAGTCCTTGCCACTTTCTGACACAACCTTTCTCAGCATCTTCTTAAAGGACTGATTTAACTTCTCAACCAACATTTGTGCATGGTAGGGACTAGAGTATAAAGCCGTAATGCCCAGTAACCTATGTATTTTTTAGCAAGATAGACAAAGCTAGTGTCCTAATCTGTAAATATTGGCTGTAGTATCCCTACCTGTGAAATCACTGCATTGTTTGGCTGTGATTGTACACTGGAAACACCTTTGGATTGTGTCACAATAAAGTGACTGCCAGAACTGCTGTTTTCTAAGAGACCAGCAATATATTTTGCAATATGTACAAACAGAATATCAACAGTGCTAAAGGTCTACTTTATTTTTCAATCCTTAGGAGAAATATACTCATAGGTGACATGAGACTTATAATGTTTCACCACATCTTTGTGTATTCCTGGCAAAAAAAACTAGCAGCTATTTGTTGATATGTTTTCACCTGTCCCAAATGCCCTGATAAAGGACAGAAGGCCACAAATGCAAATGCAAACAACAACAACAGAATTGTCTGCAAATTTAATTCCGTGTTTTGAGTGTTGATAACTCTTACAATCATTTATATACAAAGAGTATATAACACAGTTTATTGTTATAAAAACAAAGAGTAAGGGAAATTACTCACATATTCTTGGGGGGAGCTGGTGGAAGAATGTCACTTTTAGACAAAGCATTATTGAATCTTACCCTCTGAGTTCTGTTTGTGTGGAAATCAGTAACCGAGCTGACAAGTTTGAGGTCAAGGCCGTACCACAGTTAGACAATAGCTTGGTTGCCAGTAAATGTTGTTGAATACAATTAAATGCTGAAGAGAAATCTACATAGAGCAGCCTAGCACGAGTCTTACAGAACATTTCTCAAGATGGTGAAGGACAAGGTTAAGAAGGCATATTGTGACATCTTCCACACCCCTCTCTGACTATAATAATAATAATAATAATAATAATAATAATAATTGCTAACACTTATATAGCGCTTTTTCTGGATACTACACTCAAAGCGCTTTACAGGTAATGGGGACTCCCCTCCACCACCACCAATGTGCAGCATCCACCTGGATGATGCGACGGCAGCCATAGTGCGCCAGAACGCTCACCACACATCAGATATCAGTGGGGAGGAGAGCAGAGTAATGAAGCCAATTCACAGAGGGGGATGTTAGGAGGCCATTATTGATAAAGGCCGATGGGGAAATTTGGCCAGGATGCCGGAGTTACACTCCTACTCTTTTCGAGAAACACCCTGGGATTTTTAATGACCACAGAGAGTCAGGACCTCGGTTTTACGTCTCATCCGAAGGACGGCGCCTGTTCATACAGTATAGTGTCCCCGTCACTACACTGGGGCATTAGGACCCACATGAGCCGCAGGGTGAGCGCCCCCTGCTGGCCCCACTAACGCCTCTTCCAGCAGCTACCTTAGTTTTTCCCAGGAGGTCTCCCATCCAGGTACTGACCAAGCTCACACCTGCTTAGCTTCAGTGGGTTGCCAGTTGTGAGTTGCAGGGTGATATGGCTGCTATAAACAAGCAGAAGTGGGTCTAACTGATCCTGTACTTTTGCCACAATCTCACTTTACACAACCTGTTCACAAGTTAATCACTGAGGTGCCTTCAGGTCTACAATCATTGAGTGAACTAGAAGATTTGGTTTTTGCCACTGGGACCACAGGTGATTCTTTCTAGATCGGAGCCTTTTAGCTGGTTTAATGACAAATTTAAAATAAAGAAAATAAAATGCCAGACAGCTGTCTAGTACACCTCCTTTTCAGTACTTTTAACAGAATCAGGATCTGGACTCATCTTAGCTTCAACATGACAGAACAACTTGCAAACCTTAAAATAATCAATGTTCATAGCACAATAAGTGATCCTGCCTCTAAAACATTGACTTCACTTACAAAATCATGTATAGTACTTCAAACCAAAGATAAAATTGATTCAATTCATCAGCAAACTCAGTATCTGATTTTCCACCTGGTTTAATCCCCCTGCTTTCCTTCTAATACATTCCAACCACTTACTTGAAACCCTCCCATGCAGAGTTTTAATTACCTTTGCTAATTTTTAAACTCAGCTTTATCCTTATACCTTAATTCAGCTAGCTTAATCTCTCTTTTAACATTCTTCGGAGGCTCCTTACATCCCCTTGGTGAAACATTTGCTTGTGAAAAGCTCTTGCTTAGAATATAGTACAAAATTTCAGAGATATAACAGTGTTGTCACA